CCCCCCCCCCCCCATAAATAAAAAAAAAACATAATATTCCTAAAAACAAGCTTTTTAATGCAAAACATTATTATTTTTTTCTTTCTTTTTTGGGAATGAAATGTGACCTGGACTTTTCTCAAACCCTGTGTTGGTCACTAGAGGGCAGTACAGGATAGGACTTACTCCAATAACAAACCTCCCTCATAGAAATACTCAAAATTGCTTTAAAAAAAAAAAATGTTTTGTCATAGAAAATAGGCACTACAGTATTTAATAAGTATTGTTTTAAACATATAGGAGTCAAAAATAACCCCAGCCCAGTAATTCCTACATTAAAATGTAACAATAAAAACATTATGATTCATAGCCACAAACAGTACAAATAAGATTCAAGAATACAGTTTGCAGCTCTTTTGTTAGATATGAGGGAACTGAGTGACTGTGATCAAGAGGAATTGTCTAGTAGTTAACAGAAACCTTGTATGTTACCATGGAGCCTTCGGTTGCCAAGGAAATTCCGGTGCATGGAAACAAGAGTAGGAAATGACATTATAGCTCTAAATATAGATAATCAGATCTCTCAGTTCCACTAATGTGTGTGTGTGTGTGTGTGTGTGTGTGTGTTTGAGTGAGAGAGAGAGAGAGAGAGAGAGGGATATATTATTACACTGCCCTCTGGAATACTTCATTCTGATTGGTCGATCACAGCATTCTGCAGTCATATATAGTATTTTTGTATAATAATGGCAAATTACATCTGGCTACTGTCAAAGGCAAATTACTTCTTACAAAACTGTTACATGTCTCTCATATGAGTGCTCTTTTAATAGTCGACGAATATTAATTTTGGAGAAAAATAGTTACTAGAAGGATTATATGAAGTAAATCATCTTACACAGCATATCTGCATTAAAACATATGTGTATAAATATCTATTACAGGTAAAACAATTAGTTTAAGAAGAAAAAAAAAACATACCACTGAATGGAAATGGAAACGGAATGTTTCGTTTTTTTTTAAAAAGACATGGGACAACTTGCCCCAACCTGCATTTACGAGGGATCTAATTATTTTAACAGGTTGCAATATATTTTAAGGTGATGTTTTTACAGTGTAATTAGACAAATAAGAACGGAGTAATATTAATTAACTGCATAGGGTTAGGGTTAATTGGTTGTAATTATGCATAATTTACTGTTATTGCTATAGTAAGTACATGTAACGTGTGTAACTACGTCATCTTAAAATAAAATATTACCATATAATTTAATAGGGTTTAAAACTAGGTGCTTGAAACCAACATACAATAACCACTGCTTGAAAAACACAAATAATTGATTAAATTGGACTAGACATGCTATTTGTCTGTATGTGCACTGACTGTTTTGAGCCTGTAGGTGGCAGAGTGGATTAACTACAGCATCACAGCTGCATATTAGACTAACAAACTTGACAAATGTTTATGAATGACATTTTGATCATTTTGACTCCTCACACAGTCACATCTAAAAACACTATGTTCATGGAAAATGACCATACGCATACATTTTTTACCTTTAATAATCAATTATAACATAAAAACTGACACATGAAAACTGTGGAAAGAAAATCTTGACAGTATAATTTTCCTTATCACATCCAGACTTTACACGCAAAAACAAAAAAACACTGATAAAGATTTCTATTAACCTCGTAATTATATTTAAAACAATTATTACATGCTTTTGAACTTTCAGCTACATATCATTTCAGTATTCACTGAAAATACAGGCAATATTTCTGTATTTTAACTGATAAACTGACATAAAATTAGTAATTTTTCTGATGACATTCAGACTCTACATACAAAGAAAGAACTGTTAAACTAAACAATTAATTACTCTCATGTAACTATTAATCTAAAGATTTCTATTAATTAAATGATTGTATTTAAGACGATTATTACATGATCTTGAACTAACATCAAATCTAAAGATTGTGTAGTTAAATTTACACCTTAATTTTTCTTATGACATTCAGACTCTAGATACAAAGAACCGTTAAACTAAATTCTTTAGTCTAATCTAAACTAAAGATTTATTAAACTCATGTATTTAAGATGATAATGACATGATCTTGAACTTTTAGCTGCAAATCTCCAGTATCTGCCAAAAACACTGAAAATTATTGAGATAAAATCAGCTGTCTGACGGTTTTTAGTTAAATGTGCACTGTCATTGATTAGCTAGCTACCATGTTTAATTCAATTATTCAGTGACTTTAGGGAATAAACTGATTTTTACGCTTTGAGCTGTGTCCTAATATACCTGTTCAGTTTCCAACAGATTCAAGAATTCTTCATAAATTCATTTTTTAATCATCAGTTCAGGTCTGAGTGTCACCCGATCTGTCGTCTTCAACAAAACTTCCATCATCTCATGTCTAGTTTTTTGTTAGCACATGGACTATATGATAAATGGCTCACCCACACACACATGCATATACATACTTATAAATAGCTTTAACACAACAGACTGAAAAGACTTATTCAGTTTGTATTTTTTTGCTCTGATCACCATGGCAACGGGAAGTAGAAGACAGACTCACAATCAATGAGTCGTGAACAGAAAAGCATTTGGCGAAACCAAACTATGAGCCATCTACATTGAAAAGTAATTCATGTGGCTTCACAGACATTATCAATATTGGAATTGATTCTTTCATACAGAGAAAAGGAGAGAATTTGAACCCCGAAACACGTCTACATCAAATCAAGAGCAGCGAGTCTGATGAAAATGCTTGTGTAAGATCGAAATAAAAGATTTTAGATAAATAATCCTAAATAAATAAGATATGAAATTATTCATAAATAGATAAATGATTTATATTAAGGAATATTTTAAATAAAGGAACTGCAGCATGTAATTATATAATTCCCCGGCTCTATTTTATATATCTATTTATTAATATTATTATGCAATATAGGTACATTTTGAATTAGAAACATTTAAACCTAAATAAAATAAGTTACCCGTCTTAATTTGGGTAACAGTTTACAATAAAGGTCTCAATTGTTAACATTAGTTAATGCATTCACTAACATCAATTAACAATTAGAAATATATTTCATTAACATTAGTTCATTTTAGTTAATAAAAATGCTCATGGTCATGTTAGTTTACAGTGCAAGTTTAACAGATAGATCTTAAAAATGATTAACATTATTAAATATTCATAAATTCTGTAGAAGAATTGTTAATTGCTCATTTATGTTACATAATGTAATAAAGCAATGTTAACAAATGAAACCTTAACAGAAAGTGATTTCTTTAAGTGTTTAGATGGATTCTAGGGCTGCACATTTAATCGAATTTTTAATCACGATTACAATTATGGATGCCACAATTACGTAATCGTTCAAAGCGGCAATTAATCGTTCAAAGTCCACTTATGTTATTCTGCGCGCTTAAGATGTGTTTTTTTCTTTCTACATGTTATCCTAAGGGTTTTTCCCATTATTTTAATTTTAGTTTTAGTATAACATTATAATACCATTCATATTTTTACTTTTTTATAATTTAAAGAAGAAACCAATCCGATGTTTAGTTGACATTTAAAACTTAATACTATAGAAAAGCACTAAAGGTTTTTCAGTAAGAGTGCTTTCAGCTTGTTTATTTTCATATAAAAATAGGGCATGCAGTTGCATCAAACAATGGTATAAACATCATTCAATGTAAATTGTGATCATCATAATTAATAATCGCAATTACAATTTCAAGGGAATAATCGACAATTATGATTTTTGTCATAATCGTGCAGCCCTAATGGATTCCATCTATTTTTGTGGCACACACACAATTATGAATATAATTAAACACCTTTAAAAATTCAACAAAATATAATCAGGTAAGCATTCAGTGATGATCAATAATTCCCTTAAAATGGTCTTTATATGTTTGCAGAAAGAAAACCACAAGAAAAGTTTGGCATGTATTTTAGGTTTTGATTTCATTAAGATTTTAACTGAGTTTTTACTAATTAAGATCTTCCAGTAGTTCCAATTATTTAAATTAATCACTGCTACTAAACAACACTGGTTAGTACTACTGCGATTATTATTATTATTAAAAGCAGACTTCTGTTTATAAAGACCAGCAGCAGCTGCTAAAGGCAAGCTATAAATTGAAAGAATATACTGTAAAGTTGACCTTCACTTTAGCACACATTTATTATTAAATTAATGCAGAATGAATAGAACACGATATGAATTGTGAATAACTGAACATAATCCAGTTTGGTCCAGAGAAATCGAGACAAAATGTATTAAACTACATATCCCATCATGCTCGGCGCACTCACCGGTCTCCCTTTGGTTTGCGTTTGAGGGGCGGGGCCTTGCCTTTGGGGCGTCGGTCACTGCCCGAGCATGGGCCCCCGCCCGGCCCCGTGACCCTGAGCGACTCCAGACCTTTACTCGACCTCTTGAAGGTGAATTCAACCTGCTCGCCCTCCCGTAAGCTCCTGAAGCCCTCCATCACCAGCTTACTCTGAACACACACACACACTTCATGTAATACAGATATACAAACACATTTATATCATCTATAAATATATATATATATATTTATTAAAAAAACAGTCATAGCAACAGAGAATAAACATTTCATGGTATATAATAAAATCAGGGAGGGAAAGAGAGAGATATATATATATATATATGTAGATGCTAAAAAGAGAGACTTTCTACGTACTAGAAAAAACAACAGCTACCAATGTCAAAACCTTAACGTGCATTACAAGAGCAATGTTTAAAAATAAATTTGACCACTTTTCTTGCATTAAATGCACAATTTTATGAACTTCACAGCTAAAATAAAAAAATTAAAACTAATTTTGAAAAACAGATTTTTCTTATTTAAATATTTGTAATAAACCCAGTGATTAAGGCACTAAACCAATGCCAATGACAGAAAATTAAAGAATATGCAAAAAAAAACAACTAAAGTACATTTATTTAGTTTAATCACACCAAATATTAGTGTAATTGTCTTAATACTAACTGCTGCCTGACAGAATCTAATACATTTGGCTCCTAGTTTAACTTTTAGGAGCCAAAATTTAAATGTAAAAAAAATATATATATGTAATTCTAAAATATTTATAGATATTAAACAGATTGGTCATATCTACAGAATGATCCATCAAATCTTGAACATTTCATGTCTATCGGGGAGAGAAGGATATATAGATGTTCAACAAAAAGGTTTACTAGAAATAACTTGCAATCTGTCAATATCACATTAAGCTGCATTACAAAAGCAATGTTTAAAAACGCATTTGATCTTGCTTTAAAATGCACAAATTTACCACACTGATGTTTTCTTATTTAAATATTTGAAGTAAAACTGCCACCTGACAGAATCGAAAACATTTGATTAATATATAGGAACCAAAAGTTTAAATCTAAAACATGTACAAATAGCTATACAGATACTTATAGACATCAAACAGATCAGTCATATCTACAGGAAGATCCATCAATTCTAATTTAACGTCGTATAATAATCCATAAGGGAGAGAAAGATATATAAATGGTTCAAGAGAGATTTTCTAAGCACTAGAAAAAAAAAAACAATCTGTCAGTATCGCCTGAACCTGCATTATGAAAGCAATCTTTAAAAACACATTGGATCATGTTTCTTGCATAAAATGCAATTTTGAAAACTAACTTTTCCTATTTAAATATTTGTAGTAAAACTAAGTGCCTAAACTACTTGCCAGAATATGTCAGAATATTAAAAATATCAGAAACTATTCGAAAACAATTTACACCAAATATTAGTGTAACTGACTTTAACTGCCAAATAACAGAATCTAATACATTTATCACCTAGTTTAACTTTGTATTTAGATTTTCTTACATTTTAAAGTTAATACTACAAAAGTAGATACAGTAGAAGTAGACAATTCAACAAAATCTA